GTGTGTACAAAAACAACCAATCAACCAGTGTTGGTATTATTTGACAATGTTGGTATATCAATGAGTTCTTTGTAATCTTGATATTCATATCCATGGATGCTGCTTGAAGCCTGAACTCCTAAGCCACTAATTAGTGGTGGGAAGAAAGAGGGGATAAATGCTTTAAGAGCTAGCATATGACAAAAATGAATTGACTTTATTCTGTATCATATAGAGGGCCTAAGAGGTAAACATTTCATAGAGTATTCAGAAGAACATAAGGAATGAGTGTTTCACTTTAACAGCTGTTCAAGAGTGCAATGGCTGCCTTGTATGATAAAGCATCTTGTACTCATTGAAAAATGCACGTAGAAAATACCAATCAGAGACCTGATTGATGGCATTTTTCATTACTGCTTTAATATTGGGACTGAACCATTTTCTAGCTCATCAGAAACATGGAAAGTATTTGTTAAATAAATAAGTAATGGAATTTCTATTCTAAGACCATGAAAATGAAAACACTCTACGATTATTTGTCAATAAAACACAGGGCAGTTTTGCTCATCAGAATTTTGCCTATGTGATAGCCTCCTGAAAGTAGGCAGAAAAGAAAGACATAGAACACAGTGCATGACTCACAAGGGAATAAAACGGTTAGAGGTTAGTATAAGGTATATAGGCATGAGTGGGGTTTAAAAAGGATATGGAAGAGCACTGAAGACAAACATTAGTACATTTCCTGTAAGGTAAATACCAATATGTCTTTCTAGAAGAAGCATTTGTTTTGGAATTGAGGAAACCTAGAATGGATTTATCTATGTGACTTGGACAGGTTACTTATACTCTTTGGACATTTATTTTTTCTCAGCAAAACAACGATGATATTATTTAACTTGCAAGATTCATGGAGATAAAAGCTTAAATAAATGGCAGAGTACAGTAATGCTTATATACTGGATGCTAAATAAATAAGCCTCACTGTCATCACTTTGTATTAAGATATTATCTTTGCCCCCTGGTGGCAGTCTGTCAACAAAGAGTACTGTAATTGCATTTAATCCACTTAGTGGATGTGGAGCCCAAAGGGCAGCCA